TTTATAAATAGATTAGGTAAGACAGTGAGATACAGTTAGAAAAACACACTCCAAGTTAACAATAAACAGCCTTGCACTCCAACAGGGTCTTGCACTATCTTGGGGGAGATGCCTGTAAAGGAAATACTTGGGGCTACACAGTGGGTTGAAAAACAGATGAAATCTGGCTACAAAGTAGCTTTGCCCTATTATGGAAAGATTCACCATGTTTCTGTAATTGTAGATGTTCTAATAATAATTTTAACTAACAAGTAAATAGACATAAAGACTAAAATTATGCAAGAAATTCAGGCTTAATTATAAACTCTGAATAGTATTTTAGACAAGTCTCCACATCAAGACTGTTCTTTTAAATACCTATTGTGTATAGTGTAGAAGCAAAATTAGCATGTGGGCACTTTGAAACTGAGGTTAAAAGGAGTCTACCAATACATTAAGGGGTAAAATAGAGCAAAAATTGCTTTTATTTTACAACACTTAACTGAACAAAAGGGAAATACAGTGCCCATATAGATATATGACATATCCTAGAGAGCAGACACAATAAAATGATGAAATACATAAAAGAAACACTCTATCATAATTACCCTTTAAGAACACCTGAGAATAAAGAGATGAGCATGTATCCAGCAGATAACCAATTACTATTTTTATGAACAGTAAGTACAGTTTATAGCTTGCTTCTCACACTGTCTCTTCAACATACATTCTGTACAGCTGTGTTAAAATGACATTTCAGTTGCAAAAACGATATAGGTGTCAAATTCTTCCTTCACCAGCAATTTGTGCTGCAGCCTCAGATTCTCATAGCTGCTCAGTTAACACTGTATATGTGAGCACACAAACACTCAGCCTTTGATGCCATTGACATTTAACAGTCTATGTAAACTCAGTGTGCTTACATTTCTGTCTCAGAAAACTACTACTAAGGGATTTTTTTTCCCCAGCAGTTATGTCTAGTTCCCAGTATGTGTATTGGTGTCTCTTCTTTCTCTGTTCCTTTATACACAAGCTAGTAATGCTTATCTGTAGAAAACCAGGCTACAGTAAGCCACATTAAGACTAAGCTTTATAAGGCAACTTATAAATCTTCACAGTTATTGACAAGAACTGGATGGTTGACAAAAAGTGGATCATGGATTTTAATGCAAAATCATATGCTTCCTGGACAACATTTTGAATGGGAAGTATTTAAAAAAAAGACACCTAGAAATGAAAAATGAGTGATATGGAATTCATACACCTGTTTTACAATATAAAGTATGGGGAAAAAATAAAAACAAGATTGCAAATGAATTTTTGAATTTAAAAAAAAAAACAGACCAACATTAAAAAAAAAACATTTAGAAGATCCCTAACAGCAGTGGAAGCATGTTCATTATGATTACAGATATAAGAAAGCTTTTAAATACACAAAAGGTTGAAATAAAATCTTGCATGCTACAACTCAAGGTCTCTAATGACATTGTCACTTGGAACTACCTCCTAGTATCACTCAGCCTGGTTTTGCTTGTTTAATCTTACACAATCCCTATTTCTTAATATCAGGGTTTTTAAACCATGCCCCAAAGAAATCTTCTCTGTCACAGACAAAGGAAGAGTCACCACTGTCTATCCAGAAAACAAGTTTCTATGGTCATCATAAAGGTATTACAATGATGAGTCTCTAATAGAAGAGCAACTACATTACTGTCTTACAATCACTCCTGAGTTTTTTTTCTGGAAATCTTGAGGTTTAAAATAGACATTTTCTATTTTAAATTTTCTATTCTAGAGAGTACCTAGAAAATGAATCACTGATCAGACTTTTAGGTGAAGTCGCAAAAAGTCTTGCAGGGTTAGCCATATATTCCTGTGGATTATGCCATCCTTGTCACTGAACACTCTCTCTCCCTTGGCTTGAAGCCTTTTTGAAGGGATCCCTGACATTCCTTGCCCTTACAGCACTTCCAATCTCAGTCTAAGAGGACTCACTTTTCCTTAGGTCCACAAGTATTCACATACAATTCATTTGAGATTATCTTTGCTATAAGTAGGTGTCTGATAGCAACTTTTTCCTGACTATTAAAGAAAGAGATATTAATATTCATACACAAATCTAATTTTAAATACAACAGTTACTGATGTGAAAAGCTTTACTCTACAAAAATGGTTTGAACATTCAGGTGAACATCCATTGAAGAGACATCTTGATATTTTATTTCCTAGGTTTCTCTCTCTAGATGAAAATTACTGATGAGAACTGATCAGAAAATATACCTGCAGAGTTCGATCTCTAGAGCAGCTCCACATGATTTGCCCTCAGAAGTGCTGCAGATTAAGAAAAAAGTAATTGAGCTAAGGTCTAAGTTTTGAACTACACGGCAGGGAAGTTCACCTTGTATGTGTTGATGATCTCACTCTTGAAATAAAAGAGATGGAAATTAATGTAATCGTCTTTCTTTTTGCTCAATCAACCAGCACATTACTGAGTTACCTTGATAGAATAGCTCAACTTTTAACAATAATTTAGGGGAGAAAAGCTAAAAGTTCCTGATAGGATGAGCAATATAGCATATGTATATTCTAGGAAGAATTCTCTTTTTTTTATCTCCTGAAATGGGATTTTCATGCACATTCCTCTCCCTTTGAAAGTTCAGTTATATGACAGGTATCAGACTGAGGGTGGTCCCTTTCTTTCTCTTCCTCTGAAACAGGTAATTTCCAGCTACTGTTTCTGTTCAGCTGTTTGTGTACCCATGCTTCAGCAGTCTACATGAAAAACTGCTTACTTAAAAATAAATAAATTATGTTTTAAATTATTATTATTTTTTATATTCAAAAAGTGTTTGATTTTTCCTTCTAGTAGACCATCACAGAGCTACTGAATACTGTAGCCAAACAGCTGAAATAACACAAATGGAGAGAAAAGCTCCTCAATCAGTTCTGCCACTGTAGAGACAAGTCATCATACAGGACAATAACTTGCAAGTTTGTGAGGAGGACTTCCCATCTTCATTGTAAATTTGAGACTTCAAGTTCATTTCTGCTCTCTACATAAGTTTGGACAAACTCCAAAGTAACAGAGCTTCTGGACAAAAGTTTGCTACATTTGAGTGCCTAATTAACCTCCTATATTGATAATTAACTTTGAGAACAGAAATAAAACTGAAAAGTACTAAGCTAGTTCAGATTCAGTTTCAGTGGGATATACTGCCCACAAGCACATCTGAAATAAGGTCCATTTCTATTCAAAAGTTTAAACATAGCTTTAAGCAGATTTGAGTCCTAAAAATATCAGATACTTACATTTTAGATTTCATCACTGTTTTACTTACCATTCTGCCTCTACAGATTATATGTAGTTTTTTTCAGCTGTAAGCAAGAAATATTGCAATGCTATACGCTAATTAACTATCCTAATAAGACCATCTACTATCAAAGAGATACAGTATACTTCTTTAAAATTGATATTTGGGTGCATCTTTCTATCTTGGTGCCATAGGATATAGTTCAAGATGCTCAAAGTTAATGGATAAGTATGACTGTGCCATAATCTTCCAAGAACCATTGATTTCTTCTATTATTTTTTACTTCTTTCTACCTGAAAGATTTGATTCTAATCAAATATTTCCTCATTATTTCACATATATTTCTAGCACCACAAAATCCTACTTACAAGCTAGCTCAGAGGGGCAAAGAGCAAAAATACATTGAGAAGTAAGCATCCTCACCATTGTCCTCATTGTTTTTGAACGGAGTTCCCATTCTAGAGTAAATGCAAGCCAGAGAACCTTCCAATAAATCGTTCCCTGCAGAAGTTATTCTGGTAGGCCATCAGGGAAGAGCAAGATAATTATCTATTTATTAGTTCAAGAATGGAGCAGGTACTCCCATTGCTTGACATTCAGTGCTTCACATAAAATATGACCAACCCATTTCACAGTCTTTGAATATGATGACAAGGTGTTCACAGCACACAATTTGTTCTGTGTTTACTTGCCAGATTTTCCATTGCCAGGATGCATAGGAGTCCCTGACCACCTAATATTTGACATGCTGCAATTATCTACCTTCTTCCATGTATATAGGCAAAACCGAAGAATAAAGCTGAATGACCACCTTTCAAACTCAGGAACTTTTCTTCCAAAAATACAAAACATATATGCTGTGCATTCATTCAATTCTTATATGAACATTGCACATTGTAAAAAAGAAAAAGACATTGCTTTGAAGAGATTATTTTAAGAGCTGTAAGTACAGTAAGATAGTAACTGGTCCTCCATTTCCAAGCCGTGTTAAGAAAAAAATCACCCCTATTTATTAAAAAGAATAATATGCTGAATTCAAACTTGAAAGTTCCGCAAGCAGCCACAGTTACCCATAACCCCCCAGAGCTACATAAACCAGGTTGCTTTCTAAATCTGAATGTGTTGCTGCAGAACTGAGGAATGACCTGGAGTTAAGACCACAATAACTCACCAACCATAGGTTTCACTGTCACACTCTTTCAGTTTCTCCTGCCTTTACACATGCAGTACAGCTATACGCAACTTCTTCAAAATTATACTTTAGGGTTCAGGATTGTTGGTAACTCAATGAAAGAAAAGTAACCACTGAAGAGATGATGAATTTCAAATAAATATACTGTTATTATAGGATGGCTTTCATTAACTCCGCATTATGAAGCTCTGTATATTCAACTGCCTCTTGAAACAACAACTCAAGAACTTCCTTGACAATTGCTTCGCTTCATACTTATTTTTCCCTAAGATAGCTATTTTACCACTGAAGATCTACCAGCATTTTGTGATAGACAACACAGAGCATAATATTGCTTGTAGGTTTGTTCTTCTCTTGATGAGACACAAAAGAGAAAAACAGAGTTATACTGAAAACAGAACTAAATCAGAATCAAAACAACTTATCTCAGTGGTATTTATTGTCTTTTTCAAAAGCTAGTATTGATGCCAAGATCAGCATAAACTCCAGATAAAAATCTTTGTTAGCAAGTCACTTACCATATTTATTGATGATACAGGACCAATGCTGTTGACGTAAATGTCAACATCGATAACTGTTGGTTTTACTGTGGAGAAAAAAAAAATTAATATTATTTTCCAGACAACATAAGTAATCACTTTAAATACTTTCTTCCCCCCAAAAAGGTGGAGTTTTTTCAGATACAACTACTGAGAAATACGGAGTATGTATTTTTCAGGAAGACAAAGTTCTTTTCCTCCTACCCAACAACAAAAAAATGACATAAATTAAAACCTGTACCACTTTATCATCATGATCCCCATTTATCTCGGCAGCAATTTGCTAAAGAACCTTTCAGTGCTAAGCACAGTAGCTCAAAGTCAAAACCTAAGATGACTGACGTGAAACTAGAAATAATGCAGCACATTCCTTTTTCCCTTTGTCTCAACACACAGGTCCTTTAGCCTGTTTGTTCCACATTAAAAAAATCTTTCCAGACTTTTGCATCTCATCTCTCAGCCCTGAAATTCTCCTAACTTAGAGTAAAATCTCTATGAAATCTGATTAGCTAAACCTAAGCAACTCTTCTCCTTTCAATTTAGACTCATTCCCTTCAGTCCACATTGCCTTTGCACTCACTCATCCAAAGGCTTTTGAATTTGATTTCGTTTAGTCAATGCACGTTTCTCACAAGGTCTTCTATGTTTTCAGTACTTGCAGTACTTAATAAGCCAAGACAAGCTCTGTACCTTTTTCTTTTGCTGAGGCCACTAGGATTTATCTTTCTTTTAGCATCTTTGGTGTCAGTGTACCTCCTGAACATTATTCAGATACCTGTTAGTGGTGACATAACCTAACACTAAAATAATGCCACTCCTACACTGAAATGCACGTTCATTTTTTTACTTATGCTGCCCTTCTTCCAACCCCACAGAGTACACATTAGGCTCTAAATTGAGATCTAATTTGGAGATTTACTTTCTCCAGGGTTAGCTGACTCAAAACTAAGTATAAAGTATAAATGCTGTTCCAACCTGCATAGTCAGAATTGATGCAAACTTGGCCCTAGTAGGCCAACAGCTACTGTCAGACACCTGTCTTTTCCATAAAAGCACCTATTCCTCTCCATAGTTTTCAAAAATCTCCAGAGGGAATTCAAACTGCTGAAGTTTGGGAACTATGTTGAACTTGGACTTTTTGCACCTAACCCCCAAGACCCCTAGAATGAGGAAATGCATGTACATCACTCAAAACTCAGAAAGCTTTCCTCTGGGAAACCACTGAGCAGGGAAGTGAGGAACAGTTAAATTCTGTGGTTTTGTGGGAAGTTTATCTCTGGTAAGTAACAGTCAATTTGTCTAAAGCCATCCAGCACAAAGCTAAAGACAGACAAGAATGTTCACATGTAAAGTTAAGTATATTTTGCTTGCATCTCCCGAATTTCAGACTAACAATGAGATGTCAAGTAGTTTTAAAGTACTTGAAAAGTTAAATGGTTCTAAAAATAGTGGGCATGCTGGCTTGTCATGTAAGACTTTGGTATGTACGAATCATTAAGAAGACTATATCCCATGCTGCAAAAAACAGACATTAAACTGGGTACAAATAGTGGTTAAAGATTATAACAATTCTCTCTATTTTATTAACTAACACATACTTCTTTGATTGCATATGATCAGAACATCCAGGATTATTTAAGGTTGTGGTTTCAAACTGTCTGAAGTACTGGCTGATAAACTCAGATCTCCCCTGCAGCAAAAGGAAATTTGAACTCAGCTGAACAAGCTCAGCTGATTAAAGCAACTCTAATTGTTCCCAGCTAATAACTAAATAGGAGTCTAGTGGATTCTGGTAATGAGACTTGCCTCAAAATGCAGTAATAAATGTCATTACATAGGAATTGGTAATAGCGGGGAACTACAGCTAGCTCTTTCACAGAGATAGAATACATGGAATAAAGAGCTCTAATCTTTTTAGGGTTTATGCACCTATCTAGCTGGAAGTTAAAAGCTAAGGAGTTCTGGTGAATGTTAATGGCACTAGACTTAGTGATGCAAATTGGCATGCACTTGAATCTTGGCAGGACCATGGACAAAATTCAGGACCAGAACACAGTGCTTGGAATCCGTTTTTGTTTAATCATTGCAGTTAAGTATATAAATAGATTATGAGATGATAATTTTTCCTTAATATGCCAGGCCAAATTCTCTTATTGTGCAAAAAAAAAAAAAAAAATTAAGCACTGCTTGTTAATGCCAAAGAGAATTTGATCTTACTCACAGTAAAGGTCTAATCTTGAAACAGAAGAAAACTAATAAACAGTCACTTCTGTCAAATTAAATCAGCATCTAGCCTCAGATATTCATAGTGAAATTCAAATTGAAAGTAAATTAAAAAATAAATACAGGTAAACTATTATACTATTACAACAACAACAACAACAAAAAGACTGAAAGTTTCTTTGAATTATTTTATTTTGTTTTCCTAGGCAGAGGTCAAAAATAGAAGTGTAATTTGACTGTATGGTAAATACGTGTTCAGGTTTTGAAAGAAAATACAAAAGAGTATAGTTCTTGTTGCATGTGGTCTTTCATGGATATAAACAGATATAAACTGGGAGGATCATCAGGTATAAATATTAGATTTGTTATCATCAGATTTTAATTCAAAATACTAACCATAATGAGGCAAAGATTTCAAGATTACTTCCTCCTAAATGCATTATAACAAAGAAAATAACTGACTCTTAAAGTTATTGTTTCTTCTTAGAAAAAACTCACCCTCTAACAATCTTCAAAATAAACTGAGCTTCATGGAAAGACATAAATAGCTACATTACCAGGGAGACTGGACCAGATGACCTACTGTGTTCCCTTCCAACCTCACCCCTTCTATGATTCTGCAATTTCAATGCCTGCTCAGTTTTTCTGTATCCTACATGAATTTGTGACTGCTCAGTTCAGGAAGGAATTCAAGTCACACATGGAGTTGTTGAGCTGCAGATGGAGCCTTTTTTCTTGCACTAGAAAAATCCTCACAGTCTTGTTGACTGAAAAACAACAGTGTTAATACCTCGGTAAAAGTTGGCAATAAGATCACAAATAGACACTCAGCTCCAGTACCATTTTGGTACTGGCATACACCAAAGATAGTTCTAAAGAGCTGTCAGAAACTTAGAAAAAGTACTGGCAGAACCATGTATATACAACATGCAGGAGAGCAATTAAAGGTTGTTAACAAACGTACTAACTTTCTCAAAGTTCTTTGAAATAGTCTTTAATATACAGCAGTAACTTTCCCTAAAAGACAATATAAACACGTCCAAGTAACTGCAGTGTTATGCTGCTACACAGTGCTATCTAAGGTAAGCTAACTGCTTATAACTGTCATCTAATCTTTAAACATGTTGATTTTGATTGAGTGGAGTTATAAAGCCAATCAAAATATCTGCCAAAAAAACTAAGGTCATCTGATCCAAATGTCCTGGCTTTGAGAGAGGCAGTGTTAATATACCAGTTAGCCTTGGAAGCATCACGTTGCAAAGGCACTACTGAATGAAAGTTGCCTACAAACTTTAGACAGTTCAAAACACACTTGGCCACAGGAGTCAGGAGTTCAACACTGCTTGCAAAGCTCACATAAGAAGACAGGTGAACACCTAGACAGTTAGAGTAGGTGGTCAGGTATGTCTGGACAGGTATGTCTGGACACCAAGACACAGAAATGCCTAGAATAATGCTCTGATCATAAATACACATGCAAGAAAACTGTAGGATTTATTTAGTCCTGCTTTATAGATTTACACTGGTGAAATAAACAGTACCTGAGCTTGAATCTCATTAAATTCCATGAAGAATTTGCTCTTGGACATACGTAAGTTGATCATGTATGTAAAAAACTTGACAAATAAATCAGGAGAATTTTAAAAGACTCCTGAGAAAATCAAAAAAGGGATTATTATACAATTTCATGTCATGTAGGGAAAAAATGTGCAATAAGTTCGGTCATTTTATTATGCTTATTTAGTACTCTAAATTAACATGTCCTTTTAAAATATCTTTTTATTTTTGATAGATCTTCACTATTCAGAATTGATGCTTATTTAATGAATGAAACCACTTTGCTTCCTTCAGAAAGCTTCCTCCACATTTGAAGTCTGTCCAAATAGCATTCATGTTCCTGCACAAGTCATAAATATTCAGAAATATTTTTAAAATTTTAATATTGAGAAATATTTTTTAGAAGCTCAATTAAACAGAGTAGATCAAACTGAGCTCTCATAAATTTTAAAATAAAATGAAAATTATGTTTTGTTGAGAGTTGACCTTTCTTACACTGTTCAACCAACTCCCAGGTTTATACCGGTTTTATGCAAAACAGCAGTAGTAAAAACGTTATGGATCAATACACACATATTTATAGAAGCAAAGCAATTAGCACTAGATTTTTTAGAAGGCACAACCACATAGCAAACACAGTATCATCTCTGTTTCAGAACTACACAGCCACTTAAACTCTGCCCAAGTTCCACAAGACTTCTGAATGCAAAGGACTTACAAGATTGGCTCTACAGTAATGAGATATTTTTTGAAATTACTCTATAATGATATTTTACATTATCTCATTAGCACATAAATTGCTAACTTTAAATTGGGATAAAGCTGTAATAAATCGTTACACAGTTATCAGTAACTGTAGTAGTAGTGACTGTAGTGTTAATTTTTACTTTGCATTAGTGATTATGACTATTAAAATTTTCCTACGTGTCCTTATAGGCGAGATCTATTTACCTAGTTATTCGTGTAAAACAAACTGCTATACTAACAACTCACTTCTCAAGGCTAACTGTTGTCAGCTGAAACACCTCTATTTTACAGCAGATTACCACATCTGAAGAAAGACATGGTAACAAGAAGTGTTGAGTCACCACCCCTGGAGTATTTAAAAGATGTGTAGATGTGGCACTTAAGGACATGGTTTAGTGGTGGACGTAGGAGTGTTAGGTTAATGTTTAGACTCAAAGATCTTAAGAGTCTTTTCCAACCTAAATGATTCTATGATTCTATTCTATGATGCTATGAAGATATCAGTGAGGAAAATTAAAAA